CCCTTTCTCTCCGCTTTGTCTTTCATCTCTGCACCGCGGGGGTTAGGAGGGTGGTTTTGCGGTGCCAAGGACGGGCGTGACGTCGCGACGTCAGCGTTCTCTAACACGCGCGCCGTTTGACACTGACATTATCGACGAAACAATTGTTTCCCATTCGATTCCGTCGTCATTCGAATGCGAAAGAATTTGGGGAAAAGGGAGCTGAAAAGCCGCCACGGTGTCGGAACGACACTCGACATCGCTTTCAACAATTTCGGTGATCGTTTGATCGCGTAGATAACGGGCAACGCGAATGATTCCTGCCACACGGATGGCGTTCCGTTTGAAAAGACGGCGCGGCTGTTGTTCTTTTTCCCTGTATCGATTCAGCTCGGGAAGGGGGTTGGATTTAATTAGGTGGAAAATGCGCTTGTGCTTTGGATTAATATATTTGGAGCTTCTGGGCGTTTTGTATTGTTGTACAGGGTTCGTTTAAATTTCTTTTCAATTTTTTCTTGTGCGTTTGTGTACTATGACAGACAAATAATGCAAATAAACATTGAAATTAAATCAGTTCCCTAGTAGATTACTCCAAAATTAGTAAATAAAACGTGTAACAATTCCGTAAATAAAGTTCATTTTTATATAACGAAACATAACTTAGTATTTGTAAGAATTAAAATAATTCTACTCGATCGAATATTTTCGTTTACAATTACACTGCTACATAAATTCGCTCCAGAAACGTGGTAATTTTTAATTCTAACGTCGGGTCGCGAGGCGAATTTGTATTTTTCAAAGCGCAAACCCAGTTCTTTTACTTCCAGTTTATTCCGTTAATTTGCTGCGTGAACGTTTCCCGCGGAATACGCAGAAATTGGGGGCGTGTACCCTTGGGCGAATGTACAACAACGTGTTTTATGTTTTTTAGTATTAGAACGTTTGGCGAGGTTTCCTTCCGCGGTGGAACTTTTGAGAGGCAATTGCCGGCACGTAAGCAAACTAAATACGCAAGGAAATTCTCGCTGTTCTTGCAGGTTCTGAAAGATTCACAACTGTTGTATTCATCCGCCGCTCACTTTTGTAACGGTTTCGTGTCAGTGCGTTCGCATTTTCTTCATGCCGTGCTTTCTTCCCTTGAAAAAGGATACGTATTTTTGCAATTCCAGTCGTGCACCGTCGTTTTTTCTCCCTCACCTTCCCTACGCTGTCAGCAGTTTTTCGGCTGTTGTTTCTACGAATTTTTGCCGTTCGCGTAAACTCCTTGGAACGTTACCGCCTTTGATAAAAGCGTGCTACACAAAGTAATAGAGTATATGTAAATGCTGCATGAAATAATTTGCATTACTTTGCACGTTGTTCCTGTGAGAAATAGTCGTAACGAATTGAAGTATCAATCGTTACAAAGAAGTCTCTTTTTATGTGACAAGAAATCTGTGAAATAGAGAGAAAGAGTTTCTAATGGTAGGTTTTCGGAGAAACATATTTTTTATAACAGTTTATAAATAGATATGTTTTTTATATTGTACAGTCTAGATTGTTGCTGAAAAATCTGGCGCGTCCCTCGTATTTTCATTGTTAAATTAATATTATTTTCCTGAAAAAATAAATATACTGCAAATGTAATTTTTATTTTCAATTACGATTAAGTACTATTTCACTGTTTTAACGGAACCGTATTGCCAATGAAACATTTATTTACTGAACCTCCCGCTTTATTGAGTTACATTCATTTCATACAAATTAAACATTCAAAATTCAACATTGCGTTTTCGCAGTATACAGTATACAGTCATAAAATAAATTTTAAAATAACTAGTAAAAGAACATTTTACTTGTTTCGTAATAAACAATATACTGCACTTTTTCAAACATCAATTCGTATATTAAAAGTTTCAATTATTCTACAGACTTTATTTTTAAATATTTCCTGATAATGTCATCTCTCCACAGAAGTTCCTCAAATTTTTATACCTTTTACCCCAAGCAACCAATTTACATTTATACACACACGTTACTTACATCCGCGCGACTTGCAACAATTTCCCACTACCCAGCCTCGCGAGACTTAAAAAACAAACAAGAAAATAACCGTGCTGCCGCCGCTAACTTGTTGATCGCAGAAATCAATCTCTCGCCAGCGACGAAAAAAAAGATGGGGGAAAGAAAGCATAGCAGCGAAATAAAAGGTAGCGTCGGGCTCGTATTACGTTCGAAATCTTTTTCCCTCCCGCCCGGCGTCCTCCGCAATGGAACTCTAAAGTAGCAATCGTCGGCGCGCGGCGAAGTTGAGCGTAAAAAAGGAAGTTTCCTCGGCGTCCTGCCGAGGTATATACTTACCATGCCAGAAGATTCACAACTGTTGCATTCGTCTTTGTTCATTTTTCCACCCTTGTTTCCGCTTCCTTCCTCTCGGTCGTATCCTTCGCCGTGGAGGGAGGCACGCGTCAAGAATCAGCGGAAGAAGGAAGAGGAACAAAGAGGAAGAGAGAAACCAGCGGTAGAAGAGGAGGACGAAGAGAGAAGGAGCGAGGTGCGTCGAAGAATCGCAAGGAAAGGCGAGGGGCGGAAAAGCCGAGCGAAACGAAACGGCAACGGCGAACGACGACCGTGAGCGCCCTCGACGAGCGGCGTCGGGACGTCGAGCGTCGCGGCGCGCCGTGAAAACCGTGGCACGACGGCGTTCGAGTCAGTCTGCGTCCGCCAGTCGTCGCGACGTCCTCGCATCGCAGTGACTTGCGCCAAATTTTCCCGTTTCGTACGTGTTACACTTCCACCGACACCCCACCAAACAAAGGATAACACAAGAGCACGCCGAGCTCGAGGTGTACGAAAGCAAATCGAGAAAAAGGAAATTCAAGGGAGAAAATAAACTCAACGTGTTCGTTTTTTTATTATCGAAAACGGTCGAGGGAGTCGTGTTCCGAGGAATCGCGAGAAGTCCGTAGTTTCTGGCCAGAGTTTCCTGTCGCTGGAACCGATTGCCAAAGGGGGTGGCCAGCCGGAGTGTCCTTTCAGAGTATCGAGCCCGGTGATTTCGAAAGGATTTCCTGGACAACCGCGCGATTACGCTCGACCTTCGCTGTACACAGGGTGCCACGAGGACACCGAGCGAATTATCCCCGACGTGGTCGCTCGAGGCAGCCGTCGGAGTGCTTTCGGAGGGGGTCACGACGGTCACGTTCGCTAGGAGAAGCCTTCGGTGTCGGTGAACATCCGCGAGAATCGGGGATCCTCGATTCTCTCGCTCTCTATCGGCCGGTGTTTCGCTTTGTGCTCGCATTCCGACGCTTTCTCACCCCCGTTTTTCGCACCTGTGCGCTGACTTGGCACCGGGACACGGGAAAGCAACGCCGCGCGAAGAAGAGGAGCCGAGCCGAAAAGGGGTGAGCCAGAGGAAACGCGCGGCGGTCCCGCGAGCGTGACGAAACGAGACCCCTTTCTTCCGATTTTTCCGGGGCACCGTTGTTTCTTCCCCGCGCGAATCACGAACGGAGTTTCTGTGCCTGCCGTTGGATGGATCGCCGCCTTTGATACCCGCCTCGATATTCGTCCGACCGTACGCCTACCATTGTTCGGTGAGTAATTTCAAAAGTAGACGTACCGACGAGGTCCTCGCGTGACTTCGATACCCTCGCGGACTCGTTACGGGAAATTAGCGTTTAACTGGGCCTGCCGGGATTTTTGCCTCGTTGGCTGAAAGTTACTTCGGTTGTGCATGGAGTGTCGGCTTTTTATGTCTACGAGGTATATTGGGACATTGGAGCTTTTGTCGGGACTTATGAGTTTTACAAGGGAATGTGTAAGTATTGATATGCTTTACTGTTAAACTAGATCTCTGCAGACCTTTATTTTGATCGGTTCTTGTTAGGAAATATTGTCTTTGATTGTGCATGGAATAAAGTTGTTTAATGTCTATGTTGGGACGTTGGGTTTTTTAGAGTACGATGTTGCGGGTTTTAGAGAGAGGAATATGAGAAGTTGAAAATGTTAATGTTAAACTAGATATCTACGGATTCTTATCTTGATTAGTTCTTGTTAAAGGGCACTGTCTTTGAATGCCTATGAAAACAATTGGGATATTGGATTTTTTATGAGAAAATGTGGTTTTTAGAGAGAGGAATATATAAGCATTGATACAGTCTAGAATAATTATATGTAGAGAAATTTACTGATAATTAAGGAGGTTGATGTCCAATTCTGTCTCTCTAGATTTTTAGTATTATTGCTTGTTAGGAGGAATTGTTTTCGATTGTGCATGGAGTGAAATCTTTTAACGCGTATGAGACAATTTGGGACATGGAATTTTACATGAAAAGGTATTTATGGTGTTACGAGACGGGGATATATAAATATCAATGCTCTGTAGAATAATTATACTGAAGGAATTTACGGATAATTGGGAAAGTTAGTATCAAATTCAGTCTCTTCAGATTTCTATTGTGGTTCTTTCTCATCGGAAGAAACTTCGTTCGAACGTGCATGAGATGAATGTTTTGAATATCTTAAGATACCTTGGAACATCGAATTTCTAACCGAGAGAAATCCGTAGTTTCTCGAAATGAAGGTATATAAGCATTAATGCCACGAAGACTAATATTTGGATTTTTCAGAATTAATTTTCGAGAAATGTATTCAACTCCTCCGAGATTTTTGCCCCACTTGCTTCACGTTCCAAGGAACTTCCGTTGGAAGTGAACAACACAAAAGCTTTGAATACCTTTGAAATAAGTCTGACCAGTCTCCGTGATGAACATCGAATGTAGAGCAAAAGGAAACTTCTATTTCTTGAAAACGAGAAATCCGTAAAGTGACCTACCAGTTCAATAATCCTTTGCAAAAGTAGACACGAAATATTTTTTCCCATCCCAGATTACTTTTCAATACATAAAGAGCATACAAGCTCGAAACACAGACAACAATCGAAAACCTCTTTCGTTCCCCGAGAAGTCCGAATTTTCGACGAAAGTAGTTTACACGTCGACTTCCGTGTTTCCCAGTAACGAACGGTTCTCCTCTTGGAAACGCGCGCGAGGGGGAACGATCGACAATAAAATGCCGATGTTCCACGATTAATTGATGAATTATTTTCATCGTTTCTTTCCCGGCGTTTTCGACACTTGTTTTCGCCTATCAATTATCCATCGGTCTAATGGGGGACATTAAAACGCGAGACGTTTATAATCGTCCTCGAGCCGGATCGCTCGTTTCGATACTCTTCGATTCCATTTATCATTCGGCCGCGTAACGATCGCGGCACACTCGCCGGGATATTGCTCCCGGGCGATGCACAATTAAAATAATAGACTCTCGGCTGGTTTCGAGGAAATCTTAAGAATTGCATTACCGGCTCGGCAAGAGTCCGCCGCTGTATCGCCGTTTTTTCCGTGTGCCTCGCGTGTACGTGTGAGCGTGCCGAAGAGATTTGCGTAGACGACCGTTGCCGGATTCATTTTCACGCGAGCCCACGGCGTGACAGCGGCGACGGCGGTTTTGAACAAATGTAATTAAATTCTTTCGACGCTAATGATCGCATGCATTTGTACCTCCTCCCGCCCCGTGCAAATGATATTTAAATTAGTACGCGGCCTGTATATTAATCGCGCCAAACAGAACACATTTTCGTGACGATTGTGCGACTTCCGTGAGGTTGTTAACTGATCCAGCAACGGTAATAAATTCCTTCCCGTGTAATTTACATTCTGCCCCTGGAACACTTGAATATGCACCGTGTCTGGTAAATCGTGTCGCAATCACTGATAAGTTTATCG